TGATCTGTGACAGCAAAAGTCTGGCCGCCGAGCTTCAGCACGTCGAACAGGTTCTGCTCGACAATAAGCTTCGGGTCCCGCGTTTACATCACTATGACCGAGTGAAGCCGGCCATGGTCAAGACAAGATTGGCTACATCTTAAGGCGAACTTTTATTAAAACATTCCACAAGCCGCCGAAGAAGATTAGTTAGTTCATATCATCCGTCAAATGTTATATCCTTCTACAAGATGCAGGAATTTGATTTTGAATGTGGTCTCTCATATATAAGGCAAACAATAAGACCATTTAGAACCCGCGTAAAAGATATAGCTGACGTGAAACATCAACGTTCCGGCAATCAATGCAAGTCTGCAGTTTGCGATCACATCCTAGGCAGCCCCCGCCATTACATCAGATTTAAAAGACCAAAAAAATACTCGCACAAGAACAATGATTTCTGCCAAAGATGATACGTGAAGCTCTTGAAATTAAAAAACATCCTAATTTCAATAAAGTATGAGACTGGGTACTACCACCTGCTGGGGATCATGTAATCAATAAAATTAAAACTAAACCCAAGCTACTGCAAAACTTCAACACACAGTAAGTTCACTCTGCGTAGATCGGACCATAAGCAATACATAAAAATTTAAGGTACTAGGGGTTATCACTGACATCGGGACGTCAATCAATTAGTCCCCCGTGACCACGGGTAATGGGAAGCAACCTAAACGACGGAAATCAAAATCAAGTAAATTAAACGCGATAAAAACCGTAAAAGTAGACCGTAAAACCGTAAAAAATATTCAAAGTATTGTTAATTTCATAACATTGTCCATGAAACTAATGCATACAAATGATGAAAAACTTACCCCATTTGGGTTATTTTGTACTCAATATAGGCGCGGAACTAGTATTCCATTTTAGAGGCGAGGATATCAAAACTTTAATCACAAATTGTGCTGATACTGAGGAAAATCTTGGTTTTAATGTTTGTTTATCTGTCTGTCAATAGTCAATACCAATCACAGCCCCATTCTATACTATGGGAACAAACAATAAAGAATAAGTTTTGTTTACAAAATGAATGGTTTGATACCGAACGCACTAAAAAACACCTTACATATTTATCATGACATCATTGCGTCAATACTGTAAGTAATGTTTGTGAACACGGCATCAATCGACGTATCAACGTACATAACATAACTGCTGAATACAGGCCTATCATTCCCAAATGGTTTAGGCAAAGTAGGGTCCGCAAGTACAGAAAATGAAATAAGTGGTCATCCTATATCGGCACTGTTCAATCAAACGTTCTATATAGATAATTCAATCAGCAACATTAGAACGAATCAATCAAGTGATCCTAATGGCCCTAAATGAAAACGCTCTATAAATATATACAAAACGTAACTATCTTAACAGAGGCGTAGGTAGGCGCCAGCGAGTCGGTGCTCGATCAAATTGGCGACACTCTGATTAATACATCTATAGAAGTTTCGGGTCGCGACCCGTATTGCGAAGGCGGACGAGTGGCATAGTTACTAATTTCATTTATTATATCAGCCACCGACTACCTAGTGCGAAACTGAATTCGAAAATTCTAGAATCTCACATAGTAAAAGTTATACCAAATTCTTTGATAATTTTTGAAATAAATAAATTTGGTACTTTGGGATTATCCCGTTGAGCTCTCAACGCTATTTTAATTTATTTTTGGTTAACGATTATATCGCCTACTGCTACTGATATTGCGAAATTGATGTAATGTTTTATTTTTGTTTGGTCTATGAGCGTTAAAAGGTCGAAGGGATAATCCCTAAGTAACATCAATATTTGACCCTTTTGAGTAGACGAGGAATACACAGTCTCAAGTGAAGTTTATGCCAGTACTAAGTGTCTTTTAACTATCGGGTAATTCCATAGATAAAGTAATAAACACATTGTGTGTTAGTTTCTTTTAAATAGGCTATGTAATAAAAACGGGAATAATTGTACGTAATGCATAATTCCATTTATTTTTCTCTCTTCACAACTTACTGGTTACTTTACAGTAACGATGTATAAAGGACCTAACGTTATGAGAGACTGGATTCTATTATAGGTTTTATAAAAAAAGACCTGAGATACAGGTTTCCCTCGCGGATAAGTTACATATTTAAGCACTTGTTTTATTAATCCAGTTATTTATGATACCAGACTATTCGGACACAGAGGAAATAGATCCAAAAAAGTGTTAAAAATTATGTAAAAAGCAAATTTATGTAAATACCTAAAAACAAAATAAAACGATGGTTTTCAGTTTTAAATTTAAGCTACTTTTTAAAGCTAACAGTCACTAATAATACTTATAGCTATATATTTTAAACACTAGTTTCAAATAACCTGATGTTGCAGTTGTTCACTTAACACCAGGTAAGCTCCATGATCATTTGTTCCTCGTTTATAAAAACAAACAAGATATATAATCTTGAAATAGGAATTACATCTCTAAACAACACTGTACCGATGTTTTCGAGGGAGGAAAGTATTGAGGCACTTTTTTCATTCTACAGTATTTGTCACACATTCCTCATCATACCAACCATGTACTTGTGATACCATCCATACCATCTGGATGACCACTGCGGTATTAAAAAAAAGTTTTCTTCCTCGCACTACTTCCTTTTGGCATTAACTACCACCAGAGATTTTTCCGTACCGATACGACTTAGGGACCTTCAGGAAAAGAGACTACTCCTTTTCAAAATTTCCCTGGTGTTGCAGTTGCTCATGGGCGGCGGTAATCACTAACTATCAGGTGAGCCGTATGCTCGTTTGCCCCGCCCCTTACTTTAAAAAAAATCTAACCTTCGTATAATAAAATTTAGCATATTGTCGGGAGGGAATGAGGCTCGAAGGTGCTGCACTTTCGGAAGTCAAGAAAGCTATCGCACACAGACTTGATAACAGAATCTGTTCTGTGATGTCCAGTCTTGAAATATCAGGATGGATATGCGTTTTCACCCCTGAGGAGCTTTCGCTCTCTATACTCACCATACAAAGCATCAAATTAAAGCTGCTATTTTACGAGATTATTGCCGTTACTCGTTACGCTATCAATATCAGATAAAGGAGTTCCTTTTTTGGAAGGAGTGGTTTTCCCTCGAGGGGGGGCCGCTAAGATGTGGCCAGCGCTGATGAAGCCGTGAATGTGTGCGAAAGCGGTCCCGAGGCCCTGTCTATATATACAACGCTCTGAATATTTACCAATACTCAACAACGGAAATACCATGGGGTTTTAGTCGATGCCGAAAGTATGTTAAAAACCAACTAATATTTCCCTACGGTGAAAGACCTACCGTGTAATAGCGGTGTAAGAATATCCACTACACCATATCATCCCGTGGGTATCAACTTCGAACTTGGTAGTCGCACGGAACGGAAATAAATAATAATATGGATAATAATACTTTACTGGTGGCAGCAGCAGTGCATTAAAAAGACAAAAAAAACCCAAGAGAAAGTGGATGAAGGGTTTGGTTTTTTAGTTTTTTTTTTTAGTTTTTTTCTGAGCGCTTGCTCGGTATAGCTATCTCATAATTTGCGTACTATGAAGTCATTGCATCACTTTCATTTAGACACTCCCGCAGTCGTCCGTTAGCTTCACCGACAAAGGAATAAGCCACGCCCCCAAAACTTCGATTCATTTTCAAGGTATCCTCTTAATATAACGTACCTCAATATAACGACTTCCTCTATTTAACAAATTTTTCGTGATCCCCTTGAGTTGTCCATAAGATTCAATATAAAATTACATTGCGAACGTTTCTTGCAAACAACCCCTTTATAACGAATTTACAACTATCAAGAAAGTGTAAATATCTTTAATTAAAGAATTTTGTCTACCCAAAATCTTTATATAAAGTTTAGTAGTAGAAGTTGTGAATAAAACTATTTTTTTACCTCTATATAACAAATTTTAGACCAACCTAACCTCAACATAACAAACCTCAGTTTAACGAATTACTTGATATAACGAATATTTACTTGTTCCCTTTCTTTTTCTTATATTGAGGTTGCACTGTAGTACACAACATAATAAATAAATTATAAATACCGTGAAGCACGCATTTCTACTTTATGAACACAGACAGGCGTATCAGCATACACTCAAGACATTCATAAGCATTACGAGTATTACTTATTAGTACTTATGTTATCATAAGTAATAACATAAGTACTTGAATGTAATAAAACCGGCGTGTTAGTGTTATAAGTGTCAACAATATAAGAATTTCTAGCAGCATATTAAACAAACTATAAAGTAAATACTTTTATAAACTGTAACTATTCGCGTGATTAAAGAGTTAAAAGTCTACCTGATGATGTGGTCACAACATTTCATGTTCACCTGCTACCTACTTCGAACAAAGAAGTCTACGTGTTCGTTGCCAGCTAAGGGAAAAGGTGAAATGGCTCACAGCCTGGAATTATACTGGCTTTCTTAGTCTTCAAATTAGAAGAGAGCAGTGAGTGTACTGCTGGATGGACAAACTATGTAATTTCAGTGGTTGATAGCAACCCAAACGGGCTTCTTGGCCGAAAAGGACCATCTAGTTAAGTTTGTAGAAAGCGTAACCAATTATTCTTGAACTGTTCTATTTCGTATAATCTTAATATATATAAATTACGTGTCACGTTGTTTATCCGCAATGGACTCCTAAACTACTTAACCGATTTTAATAAATTTTGCACACAGTGTGCAGTTTGGTCCAATTTGAGAGATAGGATAGTTTTTTGTCCATGAGTGACCCAATTTTATTTTTGCGAATTTAAGGAATTTTAATAAGACATGACAAAGGGTCATCGAAAAGGGCAGAACAACGTCTGCTTGGTAAGCTAGTTTAATATATTTAAAATAGCCACCGGTAGCTCGCCCAAACTCATTTTCGCTACCACCCCCCGTGCTAACTATCTACTAATATAACTGCACATGGCTCTACCACGTAGTATTCTTTTATTTGCTTACTAACCTTTAAATCGAGATCCATGACAAGATGTTTTCCAAAGGAAGTGCCCCCGGTCTTCTGTATATGCAAAAACACCATGACGTCGTGAGCGTCAAGATCGAATCTGAAGTCATCGTGGAGGACCTCATCGTAAGATAGTCCCGGCTGGGCGATCACGTCTGGCAGGGGTCTTCCCAGTGCCTCCGCGTACGTGAGGGCGAGGGACTCTGAGACCCTCTCCCTCGGAGACAGCGCGCACACCTAAAAGTCATTAGTTACCGTTAGTTTTGCTTAGTTTTTATTACATTATAATGTGGTGACAGGGCATCATACGATTTTCGAATACCAAAAAAACGCCTATTATAATATCTGCATACGTCAACTTCCTATTTTTTTAATTAAAAATAAATCTTCTTTATGCCATAAATATACAAAATAAAATTGAAAATCAATTACTTATTAACTTAATATCAAACTGTAATTCTCATTTTGTTTGTTTTGCTGAATTTCTATTATGAATGAATGAATATACTTTTATTATACGCCACAAACAAATATACAGATAACAAAACAAAAATCAGATTATATGTACAATTTGGCGGCCTTATCGCTACATAGCGATCTCTACCAGACAACCAAATGTGTATAGGAATAGAACAATGAAAACTAGGTACCTAGGTGGTGTAATATATACATAATAATATATCAATACATACGATTTATAGACAATATATGCAATAAAATAACATATAAATAGCTATAACACGAAATTATATAAATTACTAATACATAGTAAAAAAATAAAGTAAACATATAATCCATATATATATATATATATATAAACAAACATTTACCTATGTATTACTTATTTATTTATGTATGTAACTAGGTTTGCTAGATCGGAAGACCAATATATCTGGAAAAATTTTTAAAATGTCGGGATTTTACGGTTGTTGTCGGGAGAAATAAATATTAAAACATAAAGTTTATTGTTTTAATTAAGAGGCTACAAAAAGACTTAACATTGTTGACACATAACTAATTAAAGTATGTACACTTTATTTTTAGATTGTTACATGTATTGGGCATTGGATTTTACTGGAGCCCATCAATTTGGAACCATTATTAGTACTCAGAAAAGATTTAAAATTCAAACAATTTACTCTAAAATTCAGTCTTATTACTAACCTGGCTTTTATTAAATCAAAGGCGAAATTCATACGAAAACTTTCCGAGAAGCTGTTTGTCTAGAGATTTTGAGTTTTGTCGGGAGTCTGGAGATCATTTAAAACGTCGGGAGTAGCCACACGACTCCCGACCAACATCTGGCAACCCTGTAACAGTTGCCAACCTACCTGCCAAGCGTGGCAGCTATGAAAAATAAGACAATCTATGGGAGAGGTATATGTTCAGCAGTGAACTTTGATAGACTCTAATTAATTTTAAAAAAAAAAACAAAGGTAACATACAGTGGCGAAGCTTCCATTAAAGCCGAAAAGCCGGGCTTGCTTTATTAAACCTGAATCAATCAATAATATCAATCAATAATATCAACTAATAAAATAACTCGTAAAATGTTTCAAGCTATTTCAAATTTCCCGCGCACTCCACTGTTCGACACATGTCGACCGATGACCTCGTATTGCCTTAGCGATACTGCTGCTGTCATAAAAAATGAGTTTTAATAGAGCTAATAGTTGTCTCCCTCGCTCGCGTGGGCTTTTTATAGGGCTTTCGAGAAGACGATCGCTCTCTTTCTAACCTATGGCAAAATATTCTATCATGAAATATAACTACGATTGTATATATAGCAATTAGTATAGAGATTTAAAGCCAGGCTTTTGGGAATAAATTTGTTAAAAGCGGAGGCGCGGAGCGGACTTTTAATGAAAATGGAAGATAATAGTGTTCCTTGTGATGAATTGAAGTGTGTTAAAGTGATAATCGGAGAGGAAATCTTTAAACTTTGTTGAGATAATACACAAGGTTAAGAGTGTATTTCAGACTTATCAATTATCGCAATTAAAAACAGTTATTGGTACAATTAAAACGTTCAACATTTTACGTGGACGTAATTAAATCTTTCCATAAGAAAGCGAGACGATTCCACTTATCTTATCTTATCTCTTATCCATTAGAAAGTAAATAATTTATTTTTAATTTTGTACATATGTTTGTACTTTGTTCGTGTTTTACTTTTGTTCATGTATTGTATTGGATGTAAATATTTTTTTTCTTTAGCTTAAACAAACCCAAACGGCTTTCTACAAAGCCACCGAAGCTGTGCAATTGTATGTAATACAATCTATCTAGCAGTGGTATGCCTTCTGTGTGCTTTGTTAAACACGTCCTTGACAACACTGAATATGAAACTGAAGCGTGGAGACAGATCAAGATTGGTGTATTTTTATAAAACTGCTAAAAACAACAATCTATATTTTTATCAATTTATATCTTGGGCTTGCCCTAGCTTGGAGCTCTAGCTTCGCCACTGGTACCATATATAACACAAATATTTTTCATCTACTCTGTTTTTATAATACATGTCCATTGAATCGCTTTATATACTTAAAAATTATTGATACGCATAAATTACCGACAGTGAGTTGAGTTGCATATTCATTTTAAGGGGTTTTCACATATTTTGGACGTGGAGGCAATTTACACATAAATTGCACAAGGACATAGACAATTATTGGTAGGTCATATACAAACTTGTTCGGTTTCAAATCCGCGGCCCGCAGCATCGCAACTCAATGCTAAGTCACTGCGTCACGGAGACGTCACTTACACTAGGAGTAGTTTCTTATTTTATATTTTTTGAAAATTTTGAATATTAGGATTTACATAAAACAAAATTCTAGAGTGGGAGGTAACGTTGGAGACGTATTACAGACATTTATGTTTTAAACTTTATATAGACAAACATCCTGACTCGGAACAATTACTCGAAGAGCGTACAAACACTTGCCCCGTGTGGGAATTATCCACTGGCTGACTTATCCACTGTGTTATCGAACTGTTGTGTGTTTAGTTGAAATACATTGTTATAACATTTGAAAAAATTATCTATCACACCTCATTATTATCTAAAAAAAATTATTAACAACCGTGGTATTAAGACCCTCAAAACATGTGCTTAAAATATTCAAATTCATTTATTCCTACTTTTACGGACTTTATCGCGTTTAATTTTAAATGGTTTTTGATCCCTGACTTTTCGGGTGCTTTCCAGCACTCATGGTCACGGGCTGAGGTGACTGACGTCCCGATGCCAATGTTAACCCGGAGTACCTTCTGCTATTAACCATGGGTGCTGGAAGCACCCGAAATAGGGAATTAAAAATTATTTAAAATTAAACGCGATTAAATCCGTAAAATAAGTTTTTATCAATGTGTTATTGGTCTGGTATATTTATTGCTTGGCGAATTATGGGTTACAATTGTTCTAATACTAGTTTTTACGGGATTTATCGCGTATATTTAACTTTTTAAATACCCGACGTTTCGAACGCTTTACAGCACTCACTGGTCACTGGCGGGAATGAGATGTTCGTAAACTACGAGTATATAATAGTCTTAAATTTTAACGTCATACAATTAAATATTATATAGTAAAATATTTTTAACATCGTTTGCTTATGTATGAGAAGTGACGTCCACTTAGCAATTTCATCACGGTAACAGCTACCGGACACTGTCAAAGTTGTCAACTAAGCAAAAGATATTATAGTCCCCGCACGTGTATGCAATGATACAAGATCGTTTTCGTTTCACACGCTCCCGGTGACATAAAATAAAAGATAGAATAATACCTATCCCAGTTTCGGAGACCCGGGAATAATCATTATGTAAATCAGATACGAAATCAACCATTTGTATGAATTAAACGTCGTTCTGAAATGTTAAGTATCCTTAGGGATTGCACAGACAGAAAATTTTCGCTAGATCTTCCATATAATTACAGCTTTATTAGTGAATATATTATGAACAGTGAAGAGACATTTAGAATAATATTATTGGCGAATATAATAACATAAATGTAGCATAAAGACTTAAAGAGTACAAGGTTTGTGTCATACATTTTGTTTTTCCCGTAGATCTTAGTTTATTTTCACATCTATTCTATTCCTATAAATAAAATTAAAGTGTCTGTCAGCAATGTTGATTGAACTGGCTGCTATTAAGCTTAGGAGATTATATTGCATGGTATTAAATACATAAATAACCAATTTTAAAAGTTTTTGAAGTGAAAACTTCGTTAGCATCGTTGTGATTTGAAGTCTATGAAACGAAAATGCGACAGTAAAAAGAGACAGACCCATAAATTCATAAGATTTAATGTGGGAGAAAATGAGATAGGAAGCATTATAGGTTATAGCTCAATGCTCGCGAGAAAAAAGTCGTAAACGCCGCCGAAACTGCGTCGCTTAGGCACGCATTTTATTTAACAAGGTACGAAGGTGTCGTGTGCCTATGGATTAAACAAGCGGTGAAGAACGGCCAAACCTCAACTTCGTAATAGATAAAATTGATATAAATCTTTTTGTAATTAGTGAGTACCATTTAAGGTATATCGAAAAGAGTAATATAATATCGGTGTCTAATATATAAAAGGATTGTTACATTTATTTACTATAAAATTATTTTTTTTATAATTTATGCCGAACTTGTAGTTTAAATTAGAATATTAAATAAATCATTTGCCGTAAAGTATTTGTATTTTATATTTCATTTCATTTAAAGGTTTCAGTTCACAGTTGAGCTGCACGCAAGTTTTTTTTTATTGTTTGTCTGTCCGGGCTAATCTTCAGAACGGCTGAACCGATCGTGATGAAATTTTACGAAAACATAGACAGCAATATCAGGAGGGATCTAGGCATTGAGCTATTATGTACTACGTACTAGAGGCGACACTGCATTCAGCTACTCTGTTCCACTCAACTGCGGTGCATACACCGCACTTTAATCAGTCACTCGCTAGGCGCTTGTAGAGTTGTCACGTGTTGTGTTGATTTAAAAAAAAATCTCTTGATAAAAATATGCCGTCGTGTGTACTTACATATTGCACAAATAATTAAACAAATGTCAGTAAAAAACAAGGAATTACTTATCATCAGTTAATAAGATACTTATTTAATAAAAAGTTTTATAGATTAATAATAAAACAAATTATTCCTAAGTCGCCATCTGGTGTCATGAAATATAGATTATGAAATTAATATGTTCAGATGCAACATTTCTGTGGGTACTTAAGTATA